CAAGTTATGATCTGCAAAATCGTAGACAATCCCTAAGATACTTTATCATTCCTGCCACTTAGGACTCACAGGGAGTTTTGCAGCCCAGCTCTAATACTCCTTTTGATTGGCTGCTGCCAATTATTAAATACTAGTAACCTACAGGAACAAATATAATCACCACATCCTACACTCTAAAGACTGAACAGCACATTACTAAAGCTGCCCTTGATGTGCTTTCTTGCAGAGCAAATGACAACCGGGGACAGGAATTATCAGAAAAGACTAGCTTCAGATGGAATGAGCATTGTTCTCCAGAACTGCTTAGATTAGAATAACAACCAACTTGTATTTGATTGGGAGAGGTTTGTTGTTGCTGTTGTAATAATATTATTCAGAAGAAAGGCAGTTTTTTCCTGGTGTTTAAGGCATCAGGCATGAAACCAGGAGACTAATCCAAGTTCTAATCCAACCTTAGGCATGGAAGACAGCTGGATGATTTTGGGCTAGTCACTCTTTCTCAAGCCAACTCCCCCTCACAGACCTGTTGTTATGAGGAAAATAGATGGAAGAAGGAATACTGTGTATGTTCACTGCCATAAGTTATTTATAAAAATAATAAAGGTAGAAAGGTTAAATTAAGAAAACAACTTGCCAAAGTTTAGATGATATTATGAAATATTCACATAATGCAGAGGGAAAAATCAAGTATGCTTCTGTCACTGAAATCATATTCATGTTTATTACATCACATCAGTTTTATTTCTGAGTAACCGTCACATCTATACATTTATTATTTGCTTATTTGTTAAATTTATTTGCCACCTATCCCATCATGGGGCTACACTAGGTGGCTTACAATAAAAATGAAGAAATGAAAAGAAGTGTAAATGTAACAGTGGCAAAGTGATGGAGCAATAAAATAAACAATGGAAAAGGAAACAATATGAATACAGTGATATGAGAATAAAGGATGGGCAGGTGGAGAGAAACCGGGAGCGATGGGGGAGGTGGACTTTGCTACCAATATAATAGCCACCTCCAATGTAATACTCCCGCATTGGGTTCCCAGGTCAACCAACAGGTCTTCAGGCAGTTATGAAAGAATAGGAGGGTGGAGGAAGATCTCACCTTGGAGCAGGGGTCTCCAACCTTGGCAACTTTATGACTTGTGGACTTCAACTCCCAGAATTCCTCAGCCAGAATGCGCTGGCTGAGGAATTATGGGAGTTGAAGTCCACAAGTCGTAAAGTTGCCAAGGTTGGAGACCTCTGCCTTGGAGGGTAAGATGTTCCAAAGGGCAGCAGAGAAGGCATTCCTTCTAGATCCTGATAGTTGGAGTTCTTGGACTGATGGGATTTGAAGTAGGTCCTCTGGGCAGCTTGTCCTAGCGGGATGAGATGGTTCATCGGGTAGCCTGGACTCATTAAGAGCTTTAAAGGCCATAACCAACACCTTGAACTACACCTGGAAGCAGACTAGTAGCCAGTGTACTGTGCAGAACAGAGGTGTGCATCGTATATATAACACTTGGAATTATTTTAAGATAAATGTCCATTCAATATCCCTCTCAAGGACTGCTTGTGAACAGAGGCTCAGAGAGGTTTCAAGGTTTGATCTTTGTTAAACAGGTATAGCAACAATTTTCAGTCGAGACTTTTCTCCTAGGTGCTTAAAATAATAATAAAAATTACTGTCCTCCTTTTGTTTCTTGTTTTAGAAACCAACTTTACTGGCCACAACCTTAAAAGAAAAATCTAGTTTGTTAATCTCCAAAACAGCCTTACGCTGCATATTATATAAGCGTGCTTGACTTTTTCTTCTCCTCCTGCATTCTCCAGGCAGCTATTAACTGCATACATATGGCTAATTGTACACTGTGGTATAATGATGTGCGCTGTAGAAACAGCAAAGTTTTCCACTCCCTTCATCTACAGGTGATGTCTGATGCCCTGGACAGAATAATGAATGTGGCTGCAAGAATCCCTGAGGACTTCTTGTGATTCATTCATTCCATTGCAGACATTCTGGAATGGAACCCTTCGAGACTGGCCAGCCAGCGGAGTGGAAGGACAATTTGGCTGAAGGCTCTTGTTTTTCTTCTCCCCATTCCCCAACAAAGCGTTTCCAAATATTAACTCTCTTGCCACTTCTCCACACTAACAATTCCCAAAAGTGGGAGGATAGGGGAGGGGGGGATATTAAGTATTTTTGTTGTAGTGGAAAACGACCTTGATGTCTGATTTTGAAATTGTGATCAAAATAAATGGCTTGGACCAATGGTGTGTGCTGCCCAGAACAATCACTGGGAGAGTATTTAGTCCCTTTGAAAGAGCAGATGTGGATAGTGAGGTACATCTGTCTAAGTTCCCAGCCCGGATAATTCTGCTAGCCACCTGGCTAAGTGCCTTGAACCGGTCCCCTCCTCCCTCTAGTTTCTTGCTTTGAGACATAACAGCAGAAGGGAGGTGCTGCTGGCATCTGCTCATGAACTGAATGAATGCAGTAGCCCTGGCTGATGTTGTTTGAAATGGCAGGGTTTGGAGGGAAAAGCACGTGCCAAATGATTTGGCCCCTCCCTCTGTACAAGCAATTTATCTCAAATGCAAGCAGAATTCTATTGTATCCAACCAAAGGCCTCCCACTTCTGCAGTTCCAGTGGGATCAGCTAGGTGTTTCAAAATGCTCTAGACCAGCGGTTCCCAAACTTTTTTGGTCATGGAACCCTTCAGAAGACATTTTTTTTCCCCATGGAACCCTAGGCTACAAAATCAACAAACACAAAATCACAACATTGCCAACATACAACCAAGCTCGGTCTTTGGATACCTCTTACGTGCTTTCTCTCCTTCTCTGCCATCCATTCAGAGGCCATTTCCCCTCTGAGTACTTGAAAACACAGGTCCCTTCTTCTCCTCACAGTCCTCCCTAAGTACCTGGCCAGTTGCTACCACTACTCTTTCAAAATCTGCTCTTTCCTGGCTTTTCCAGGCATCCCTAGCTTCTCCTTGGAGATGCAGAATGATAGGAGGTAAGTAAAGATAAAAGTAAAGGTAAAGGTTCCCCTCACACATATGTGCTAGTTGTTCCTGACTCTAGGGAGCGGCAATCATCTCCGTTTCAAAGCTGAAGAGCCAGCGCTGTCCAAAGACATCTCCATGGTCATGTGGCCAGCATGACTAAATGCCAAAGGTGCATGGAACGCTGTTCCTTCCCACCAAAGGTGGTCCCTGTTTTTCTAGGTGATTTCGAACTGCTAGGTTGGCAGAAGCTGGGACAAGTAATGGGAGCTCACCCCGTTATACAGCACTAGAGTTTTGAACCACTGAACTGCCGACCTTTCGATTGACAAGCTCAGATCTAAGCCACTGAGCCACTGTGTCCCTAGGAGGTAAGTAGTTGGATACATTTGGAAGGAGCAAAGTCAGGAAAGTTGGGTGCATGCCATCCTTATTATTGTGCCTACCTTTCCCTTTATTTTCCATTTGGTAAGGCTCTGGCCTTTATAGCATCACTGGTTGCCATGGAAATCACCTCAAATGGGCTCCAGTACAGTTGAAGAATTGCAACAGGACAAGTCACCCAACAGTATGCCTAAAGAAAGAAGAGAGGAAAGGAAAGTATAGTTGCTCTATTTCTCTGCGAAATAACAATGACAGGAAGTCAGGACTGGGCATTCAGAGTACAGTTCATGTTGAGGAATTAAAACTGATATCCAAATTGTTTTTTTTTAATCCTCCCTGCCTGACAGTTGAGTAACCAGGAGGAGAGAATCATCATGGATAGACTATTTGTCTTCTAACATTTTAAAGTTGTCTTCCCACAACTTCATGAGGTTGGCTGGGAATTCTGGAAGTTGCTGTCACAACACACAGCAGCTTGGAGGAAGTTACTTAAATCAAGCTTCCTGGGAGAGTTTTAAATCAAGCTACTGGGAGAGGGGATATTTGCACACATATACACACAGACACACATCAGCCCAAAGACCATATTTGCAGTCTGAAGACTAACTGATCCAGCTCTGCCTTAGAAGGCAAAATTATCACAGTAGAATGGAGAATTCTTTGAATCTCATAAGGATGGCCCATGTGCTGTAAACTCTTTCTGGGATAAATAGATTTGCGGTAAATATCCATGTACTTTGAGCAGTAGCTTCTGGAGAAGCATATGGGCTTTAGTGATAGACAAAGCTCCCAATCCTTGATGATCACATACTAAAATGGCAATGAATTGAGAGGTTTCTGGTGACACAGACTTGCGTCATTGATTAATTGATTAGGAAGACAAACCATTAGAATTAGTCCTTCTCCCCTCTTCCCTTATCAGCAACATGGATAGAATAATCATTTGCTTTATGGCAGCTGTTATAAGGACTATTAATCTAGTATTCAAAATATTACAGATTAGCTTCTTAATTGGCAAAACATTCTTGTTTGGAAATTGTGATTGGTAGCACTGAGGATACACATGGCAGAATTTCATGTGTGTGATATATGTTTGAATTTACGATGATACATGGAAACATATGACTGGTTTCTCCCTAATTACTTGTATAAGGACCATTTTCTATATTATTCACGTTGTTTTGTATTTTGTTATGGATTGCACCAATAGAGGCTAAATCAATTTCATTGTATATATATACAATGACAATAAAGGTTATTAGTATTCTCTCTTTTATAAAGAGATAATACTAATAATAAACTTATTATTATTATTATTATTATTATTATTATTCACACATGTGACTTTCTTTCCTATGATTTATAATGTATTTCAATTGTTTATTTATTAAGTTTGTAAGTTGCCTGACTCCAAACAATTCCAGGTAGCTTCAGAAAGTTAAAAAAACAATTATAAGTTAAACAAACATCTTTAAAGCAACCACCATTCAAGGGAACAAAACTACCCTTCTACTTTAAATTGTCGGCTGGGTTCCTGGGATGGTCTGTTTCACTAAGTCCTTTCTCCCTGCAGGGAGAGGAAGCACCAATTATCTGAAAAGCAATCAGAGAATGACCTGACTATGACAAAGGACAGATAGAAATATCTTGAGATAGAGGTTGCACCTGCTCCAAGACCAACACCAGATCTTGTGTGAGTCCTCCAACATAGGCAGGACTCTCAACAACAGGTCCATGACTGCCATGGGGACTATAAACTTCTCAGTGCCCCCACATTCACTGCTGCCTAGGGATAAATTAAAATCAATAACCAATCCATCCACAGAATCCATTGGCTCAGTTAGGGGTGTTGCTGTGCAGCAGGGAGGCCTGCAGTAGCCTGTAAAGGAACTGAAAAGAGTTTGACTTCAGGCACACGGTCCCATGTACATACTGCCTGTCAAAAATTATTACCAAGAAACAATTTGCTTATATCTTATCTGTAGTGGGGGAAGGGAGAGAAGCAGGGTATACTGAATCAATATCTTCCTAACCTGGATCAATATCTTCCTAACCTGGTATAAATTTTGTTTCAAAGGCAAGTTGTTCAAAGTTGTTCTCAGAAGGCCCCCTATATTTGGGTAGTGTGGCTTGATCGTTGGTGTTGGTCAGGTGGAAATCCATAGCGACTGTTACACATATAGTATGAGGATTTTGGCCACTTTTTCAGAAAAAGTTTCTGATGTTTCATCTGAGGTGACCACACTCCAACTGGCAACCCTTTCAGCAGCAGATCCATTGACTGGATTCTCTTTCTGACTCTTACAGGTGCACTTTTATTGATCATGAACCTAGTACTATTTCTGGCATTGCACTTGATGACTTTCTTCCCTGGTAAGGGTCATTTCCTTCCCTAAATCCACATCTGGATACTGGAATTCATTCCACCAATGATATTGCCATCTACATGTTTCTTTCTGAGGATAAGAGTCACTGGCACCAAGGGGCATACACATTGATTGAAATCATAAATCTTTTAAGGATGGCATCCTATTTGTGGAATGCTTCCCAAAAAAGCTCTTGAGTACCTACAATATGGTGCTTTTGATACCAGATGATGGTTTTTTTATTTTCACAGGCATGAAAAAAACCAGAATGTTTTAATAACCGTGTAATTGTTACATATTACAGTATTTTAAATTCTGAATTTATTGCTCTTCTTTCTGATTTTTAGTTTCTTTGCATTATTGTGCTGTTTCATGTTAGTCTTTATTCTTTCTTTCTTTGTATTTCTATTGAGCCACAGAGAATTAGTTGTCTAGAAAAGCAGGAGTAGTAGGAGTAATATTAATTTTCCAGTTTAAAAACCATAGCTTCTGATCTGCATGATGTTTAAAAAAGAAAGAGATATAGATATTAAATATATGCAAATTTATATCTTGATAATATTCTTACCAGCAAAGATAGCTTGATTATATGCCATTAAGTTCTTGTTAAATATTAGCAATCACATAGATCAGTGCTTTTCAGCTTTGGCAACTTGAAGATGTGGAGATTTCAACTCGCAGGTTTCCCCAGCCAGCTTTGCTGGAAATTCTGGGAGTTGAAGTCCACACATCTTCAAGTTGCCAAGGTTGAGAAACCCTGACATAGATAGATTTTCTCCATGATGACCTTTCAGGTCTTCCAACAGTGCATCCATCACCACCATAACTCAATCCTTCCATCTGCTGCTGATTGTCCTCTTCTTCTCTTTTCTTCCACTTTTCTTAGCATTAGAGCCTTCTCTGGAGAGCTGGGTTGTCACATAACGTGTCCAAAGTAGGATAGTTTACCAAAAAGTGCTAGAAGGAAATCTCCCTTTTTTTTTCATAATCTGTACTCTGCAAGGACAATTGGAATAGATTGTAATCACAAGGAAGATTGTGATAGGAATACATTTACCAGGATCAAGTTGAAGAAATCTGTTACTGATCATTTCACAGAGTTGTCAAATGATCTATTCACTCCTGTTCAGATTAACAATGTATACAAACTGGACTTTCTTTGTTTTTCCTTGAAGATGTTTTGGTTCTCATCCCAGAAGCTGAGAAACAAAACCATCTTCAAGGAAAAACAAAGAAAATCAAGTTGCCTCTTGAAAAAACACCTTTGGAGCAACCTTGACCTGGATGATTGAGAATCTCCATAGACGTTGTGTATAAACATTTATATGAAGGTCCATAGGATTTTTTATCCAGATATTTACCAAACATAGTCAGAGATAGCCCATCCTCGATGCTATCATGTGCACTATGGCAGAATAATCACAAATAGCACAGAAAGAGATAAAAAAATATTTTTAAACTTGCACACAGGATCATATCCATCCCATACAGCGTTGTTCTTTCTCTTGGGAAAATCCTCCCATCTCCCCTATCAGACACACAGTTCCCTGCACACCCTTTGTAAGGAGATCATATCCTTATGACTGTGCCTTCTTCTCATCTTCATCACATCTGTAGCATATCATAGAGGGAGGTCAAAGTTCTATTTAGCTATCCAGTTCTAACATGGTGTTTTTCTTCTTTTCCCAACCCAACTTCATTTTTGGGGTGCTTTAGCATTTGGCGTTTCTGAGCATTAGAATGGCAGGGTGATTGGAGGGAACTCTGGTTGATATTTTCTACTGTACACTATTATCTCACAACTTCCTTGTTTCTCCCACTTCCCCAAAACCCCATGGAGTTGTTCACTCATGAAGCAGCTGATAACTAAGCTCTGTGAAATCCAAGAACTATCCCCGAGAGAATTTCCCCAGGCAATGACCACTTGTTATTCTCCTTCTTTGTAAATTAATATGTGAAGATCAAAAACATTTTTTTTCTCTAAAAGAGTGATCAACTTTCTCCCTAGCATCATCAACTGTACAACCTCCGCTGAAGATGTGTCAAACTATCGTCCCAGAGTTGATCATGCCTAGAAAAGATTGCCTAATCAGTGTAATCAGCTGTGCCTATGAAAGATGTTTGCTTTTATTTAATTATAGCATTACAACTTTTGCCAAAGTCAAAACATACCCCAAAGTAACTCCAAATAAACATCACACATAAGAATTCTGTATAGGAAGTGCTAATTATATAATACCCTTTCTTTTGCACAGAGTATAAAGTAGATTCTTGGCTGAGATTGAAACAAGGATGAATCACAACTGGAATAATTTCTCCTTTGCTGAATAGGTGCTGTTCATAATCAACCATTGTTCAAACACAGTTCCTCATGTCACGAAGAGCCAGCTGCAATAGGATCCTCAGCACAGAAAACGATTCTTGGAGCTCTGCTGTAGATTGAAGTTTGGGGCCCCAGATTCAGTGGCAGGCATCTCAAACTGAAACCCTGAAAAGACAGCTTCCATACTGCATCAGGAGTGAATAACTTTAGTCCTTCAGGTGTTACTAAACTACAACTCCCAGCAGGCCCAGTCTGGTGAGGAATCTTGGGCGTCGTAGTTCAGCTGAATGGCCACAGGATCCTTATCCCTATATGGGGTTATAATACATTTCTAGACACATCTCCTCAAAAGTATTTTGTGAAGTATTTATGACTGCACCTTTATCTAAGATATAATTTTAATTCAAATCTACATTTAGTATATGATAGTCCAGACAGCACACACATTTACATAGTTAATTTTCAAGTTAACCCTTGGTACTTTACATCTTAAGGGTAAAAGCATCAGATAAGTAATAACTAAAAACAAGCACTTAAGATCAGAGGGCTATACGGTGGACATCAGGGAAGAGAAGAATTTGAACACATCCCCCATCAAAAACTAGATTTGGGAGCAGGCATCACCATTATATTTCATATTCTGATTCAGGTTTTTACAGCTTTATGGAAGTCCAACAGGGCTGAGAGTCCATATGAATCTCACACTACCAAGAAGGTGTGTCTCCTAGGCCCCACAAGGTGCTTTGCAGTCAGGATTTGGAGCACTCCAACTTTTCCGGTTCTTACTGGTCTTCAGCTTCATTCTGTTCCCACAAGCTTTACTAACTTTGAAAGATATTCTGCTTCATTCAACATCTTCTAATACAGTGTTTCTCAACCTCGAGCAGGTGAAGATGGGCAGACTTCAACTCCCAGAATTCCCCAGCTGGCAAGGCCAGCTGGGGAATTCTGGAAGTCCGCCCATCTTCACCTGCCCAAGGTTGAGAAACACTGTTCTAATAGAACTTAAAGCTAACATTATTATTGTTAAGGACAAATGAAAAGATTCAAAATATTTCTATTCCTATGGATGGAAGAGCTTGGGTTTTTTTGTATTCTAAAAACATGAATATAACTACTTCTGAAGAAAACATACATTCCGTTTAAGCTTAATCTAATTAAGCTTAATCTAACTAGAGACCATTTGCAAGACAATGATGTTAGGCACTAACTTATCAATGTTTTCTTTGGCCAGAGAGAACCTGGAGTTCCCAGAAAGAGCCCCAAGATGAAAGTTACTCTTGGTACCACTCTCTTCAGGTATGATGCATTACACTAATGTAGATTAGGTCATTAGGTCAAAAGTTCTATTAAACCATCTTTCCCAGTCTAGTAATCTCTAAATGTGCTGGAATGCATTTCCCAGACAATATGACCATTAGTTACTGGTAAATTGGTTTTGTTGTGATTAGTTTCTCCACAACTGCTTTATAATTTAAGAGCCATGGTGGCACAGTGGTTGGAATGCAGTACTGCAAGCTACTTCTGCTGACTGCCAGCTTCCAGCAGTTTGACAGTTTGATTCTCACCTGCTCAAGGTTGATTCAGCCTTCCATTCCAAGGTCGGTAAAGTGAGGACCCAGATTGTTGGGGGCAATAGGCTGACTCTGTAAACCGCTTAGAGAGGCCTGTAAAGCACTGTGAAGTGGTATATAAGTCTAAGTGCTACTGCTATAGTAGCTACAGTGTCAATAAAATCCAGCTGGTTGCTAACAGCTTTTGGCTATTCGAAAACAAAAAGAAAGCAGCTTCTGTTTCTCCATGAAACCTCCAATTCTCAACAATTAATGTCTAAAAGGTTTTTCTCCATGTAAGAGTTCTCTTTTGCACATTCATAGCCAAACATTGGATTTGATCTAGACTAAATGAGGCAGTTAAGTCTTATAGAAAGGAACTAAGGAGTGAAGTGAACTTTGCCATACTAGAAGCTGAAATACCCAGTACTAGTGCACATACATGTAATACATCCATCTGCAAATTAAAGTGAAGTCCCTGGAAATTTAACATACAGTGTATAAATAATCAAGCCAATTGGGGTGATATAAATTCCCCCGTGCTTAGTTTTGGAGTAGTTTCCCTAATCGTCATCAGGGCCATTCAGGGTGGAAAAAATGCACAATCTGTCCTCTTCAGAGAGGACTTCAGAGCAGAAAAGGGCAAGCCAAAAGACCATGAAACACAACTCCTTTAGGGAGAAACATCACATTGTTTGGGACATTTATTATAGATAAAGTTGAGTTGGGAAGGGGCAGGTTAGAGGAGACATAAGAGTAGCATATGTCCTAGAACCAAGGTCTTTCAGAGAAGTTGCATGGTGGAAAATTGGAGGTGAGTGGTGGGCGAGTGGGTGAAACCAAAATCATTCCCCACCTCCACCCCCGGTCCATGGAAAAATTGTGTTCCTTGAAACCGGTCTCTGTTATGAAAAAAGCACTGGGTTAGACAAACGTATGGATGACAAGACTGCCAACGATCACTATAAAATTTCTCCTTATCAGTTACTAAGAAAGGTAAGAATGGTCTTGGGTCGGGATGAAATCCAGCAGGTTCTGACAGGTTCTGGAGAACCGGTAGCAGAAATTTTGAGCAGTTTGGAGAACCAGTAGCGGAAATTTTGAGTAGTTCAGAGAACCAGCAAATACCACCTCTGATTGGCCCCAGAGTGGGGTGGGAATGGAGATTTTGCAATATCCTTCCCCAAGGAGTGGGGATTTTGCAGTATCCTTCCCCTGGAGTGGGGTGGGAATGGAGATTTTGCAGTATCCTTCCCCTGCCACGCCCACCAAGCCACACCACGCCCACCAAGCCATGCCCACAGAACCAGTAGTAAAAAAATTTAGATTTCACCACTGTCGTGGATTCATAATCTTCCTGTAGATTGCAAGGAACATCTTCCTGCATCCTCAACCTATGCTCCTTTTTTCATCTTTCCTTCAATTTTACATGGCACTTGTCAAAAATGGTGATTTCTTTTGATATATGCAGACATACATTTGTATGTACACATACAAAGAGTATATAACTAATACCATTGTTGCATTTATTTTTACATAGGTAGTTGGAGAAAGATTTGAGGAACACATTAAAACCATATCTCTTCTCTTGCAAAAGTTTGACCAATCAATGAAAGAGCACGTAGGAGCTTTAGATAAACTGGCAAGTAACCGTATCAAGAACTTAGGGGAATGGCTCGAAGAAAATACTAGAGATCTTAATGTGTGGCTCAATATGTACTTTTGGGCCCTACAAGAGTTTCACAACAGATATATGAAACATCCTGATTATATGCTGGCTAAGGAGATTGTACTCCGTGACAAATGTTGGAATGAAGATATCAATAAAGCAAATCCGTTGCTGGAATATTCTAACAGTAGCTTGTATACGTGGTTGGAGGAAGCCCCTATAATCATCTACAAAGCCCTGAGGATGCAAGGTAGTAACCTTCAAATATACACTGAAATTCAAATCCAGCACATAGAAGATCACGTAAGATTCTTAGAACAGTTATTGGATAATTACAGTGCAGCAGCCAATAAATGGCTAGAAGATTATGCTACAGTTAAAGAAACATCCTCTCAGGATTTCACATGGGACTTTTTCACGGTGGGTTCAAAGGCACAAAAGCTAGGAAGAGAATTTGTAACAGCCTTGCAAGGGAATTGCCTTATGGTCATGAAATGGCTTGAAGAGAATGTTGAGCGCATTGAACAGTTGCTGTGGAATATCATAAATTAGTAGCAGAAGAACAAATAGCATTTTAAAGACTTTTCAGTAATTTTACACAGTTTCAGCTGAGTTCTACATAACATCCATTCCAGGAAGAATCCAAATATGCTATGGATTTCTGCAGTCCACACACTTACAGGCTGTACTATCTGAGCAGGAATAAAAACTTTAGAAATATTTCCTCAGTTAATCTTTATTTTATTTTCTTCGGCCTAGATCATCCAACAAAATGCTTTGTGGAAAAGCATTTGCCTCTTGATCATTTTAGTCAATACATTATGATTTTTACTAATTTTTAGAGAAGTCATAATATAAAAAAACAATTAGAGACATTGTCTAAAGAAATTCCTTCCTGGTTCACTTTGAAAGGAGTTGTGTGCACTGAATTTAGTCTTATCATTTCACAGCAAACTGAAGAGGAAAAAATTATGGCTGTGTAAATCAAACAGACACTTAACAAATTAAGAAGAACTCTAAGTGATTTAACATTTTAACACTCCAAAAAGACAGACTTTGTGCCTACAAAATGGCTACTTGGCAGGACCACTTTCTGACTTGGGACACAATACAAACACAGTGCAGAATTGAGGAGTCCGAGTAGTTTTCAATTCAGCCAGGGAATTAAATAAAATGTAAGGAAACATACTTAATATGTTTTAATATTAATATAATAACAATAAAATAATTATGTTAATTTCAATATTACTTAATAATGCCATGCCATTTAGTATACTTTTTTCTCCTTGAAAACTATCTTTGTTTCCACCATATCCATGAACATTGACTACCGGTGGAAATACAAAAAAGTACTTAAATAAAATAAATATCTATGAGAAATGATGCTAGAGTACATGGGTTGCTTTTTAATTAAAAGGTTTGTATAGGTCAGGCCAATACAGTTCTTGCAAGTGTCATGCAAGGACATAAAAGATAAAAACCAACATTTTAAGCTATACTAAGAACTGAATAAATAATATATGGCTTATAGTATTACAAGCCCTGTGGCCCCCTAAAACGTGGATACATGAGGTTTCGAACATGGTGGCTAATGGTGATGCTATTTGATGCTTCTCTCCCTTTATTATGATGCCATGAGTTACTGATGTTAAGGAAATACAAAATACTTTCAAAGCCAGATCTGGGTTATGTTTCTCTTTCTTGGCTAGAAAAGGAAGAGCAAGAATTCATGAAAGGAAAATATTTTCTTTTTTAATACATACAATACTAGATATTTTAAAAAAACATCACCCTGGTCAGGGCAAGACAAAGATTAATGACATTAACATATATTCACCTCAAAGGTCTTTAAACATGAGACTTCCGGTTGATGTCGTGGGGAAAACGGCTTGGAAAATAGGGGGCTCCTCCGAGCCCTGCAAAATCCAGCCGGTAACCACTACGAGGTCAAAGCCACCTTGTAGTGATGATGAAGAAAGGATAGGTGCTTCATGGACCACGAGGAACTCACAATTTCATCGTTAGGTCTGAAGCAAATTCTCTCGAACGGTAGCAGGGACGACGGCCATTTTTGGCAGTCATAAACCCAAACCATAATATTTGTGCTGAAGTGGTCCGTGGACAGAGCATTGAAACTGGGTGAGATAACTTCCAACTCTTACTCTAAAGATTTAATATAAGTACAAGAATTTTAAAAGGTTCAAGGAGACAAGGGGATTGTCCAAAGATAAAGAAATGAGTGTAGAAGCCACTCAGCAATTGGGGGGAAAAGATGAACATGATATTCAGGAAATAGATAAGAAATTAGAAGAAGCAGCAGGAGGGAAAAAAATCAAAACAAGATGAAGAGAAAGGATTAATAAATAGGAATCAATTAGATAATTCCTTAAAAGCTTGTAATAGAATAGAGAGAAAAAAGAAAAATATCTTCAAAAAAAGAGAAAGGTTTAGAGAGAGAGAAAGTATCTTTTAAAAAAAGAAAGTCTTATTGATCGGTGTTCAAATAATACTGCAGAAAGAAACAAAGGGCAACCCAAAGGGAATGTTCATAGGTATAAAAATATCAAAAAGAGTTATAAGACTCCAAGAGGGACAAATAAAAGAGTGATTAAAAATTCAATAAATGATGGAACTCCAAAAAGGCTAAGAGATGATGGATAATGATAAAATATATTAATAAAATGAAAAAATAGAAAAGACAAATAGAGAAAATAGGGAAAATAGTATTAACAGATAATAGAATCTATTATAATTAAAAATAAGCTAAACTTAGTAGGTGGAAATTTAGGATTAGGTAATCTGATTGTATTATTAGTATTAATAGTGTGTTAAAGTATATTGTGAACTTAAACTTTTAAGGATTAGAAATTGTGGGGATTTTGATATATATTCCCGGGATTGATTAAATTGTGTTAATATTTGGCCTTGTTAGTAGTTCTAGACATTTCGGATATTGAAATTATGGTGGAATAATGAGTAATTCTCAAAATATTAAATATTAGTGACTTAGTAGGGGATAACAAATACATGGCACAAATAAATATTATTTATGTTTAAATGAATTAATGGAAAAAATGATAAAGAATTATAAAGAAAGAATGGTACTGTTGAAGTTGGAAGATCAGGATTATGCATACTTATTTGTATTATTATTGTTAGCATTGTTTAAAAAAGATTTGACCCAGTCAATACACTGTCCACAAAATATGTATGGTGTGTTTTATATTAAAATATATATAGTCTTTAAACACTTCTCTTTAAACTATATCAGTTCCTTCCTTCATTCTCTGCACATAAATATGTTTACAGAAATCATTTTGCATATTACATAGGCAACCTTTTTGCAGACAGCAGTCTTTTGAAAAATTGGACTTGAAGACCATTAGGGACAATGTCCAGTGATGCCATGATATGGGGGATGATGGAAAGAACCAATAATTCTGCCTATTGGAGGTGCACAAATTTTGACCAACAGTTAAAATTTATATCTTAAGATTTGCAGAAGAAAAATTGATCCTGGGTGGGGATTATTGAGGTTTCAAGTGGTAAAATTAAACTCTTAAAATTCCCCAGTCCTCTCAAATTTAAAACAAACCAACTAAAAGACTGAGGTAGAAATTTAGCATACCCCCCAGATGTGCGTCAAAGGTCTCATGGAACCCAGGGCTGTAGGTTACCAATCTTGTGATGTACAGTACTAACAGCCTTTTCTGGAAACAAGAAATTACATTATCAAAATGGCACTACGCATTCAGAATATTGGCAGGCAATGGAAGCTTTAGGTGTTGAGGATCCACTTCCTGGGATTCTCCTTTGTGTAGTAGCGCCTTCCATGTTTATTTATTATTTTTTAGTACAGCACACATGGTAAGTTCCATAATTTGACCAGACCTCCTCGTGTATTTTTTATTAATCACTGTCTGAAATTCTACTCCATTCTATGACTTCACTCTCTTCTGATTGCGAAACCAGATTTTCAAGGTATGTAATTGGCAATACATGCTTAAAACATTCTAGCTTGCTTGCAACTTTCACCCAGTTCTGGTGGGGGCATATTTCATCCATGTTACTCTGCTCTGATAGCAGCTCTTAGTGATCTTGACTAACCTTGAAAGCTAAGCAAGGTTGGACCTGAATAGCACTTTAGTATTAAATCTCAAGGCTCTAGAGTAGACTGACAAGAAAGTAGGGACAAATAGCTTCCTTTCTGCTGCTAAAAAAAAATAACTTGTTTATGAAGTCATGGGAACATAAATTTAACTCAAGGGAATCTTTAGCTTTGTAATTAATGAAAAAAACATTAACCAAAGTGAATAACTTGGAGACCCCTCAAGTTTGGTGCAAGGATCATGAGACTGTTTCATTCAATGCGATTTTATGTTGCATAGTTATCTGATATCTTAGCAACTTACAACTTGCAGCCTATTCTCCTGAAAAACAGAAATGCTATTCATTTGTATTTCTTCTCTTTTAATAAAAAGGGAGAACATAGTCTTGTTTTGGGAAATCTCCTTTGTTTGGGGCAATGGATTATAATATCCACAGAGAAGATCAGCCTAAATTTCCATTTTCTAAGATGTTTGCAGCTTTCCACATGCCCTTAATTCCACATACCCCTAACCACTTTAAAAGATACTGTATATTCAAGTAAGACACTAAATGGAAAACATACCCATGAAATGGGGGCCCAAAACCAAGAAAAAGAAATTTTCTCATGCAGTAAATTCAAACAAATCCATTGTTATTTGTAGGCAAAGTTTGAAAGCAGGAGCCAAAGTCTATCATTGACCCCTCTTTTCTCTTGAGTGTCCCATCTAGGCAAGAGACACAGGATCAATCTAGCTCAGCCTTTCTCAACTAGGTGCCCTCCAGAAATGTTAGGATTAAAAACTCCCAGAAATTCCATTTCACTAAGAAATTGTCCTGACATGTTTGGAGAGGACCAAGGCTGGGGAAGTTTCAGGCTGGCCTGATCACATCTGGATAATGGTGTAAGAAAATAACAGAAGATCAAGAATTTCTTATTTTAGGCAGGCAAGTGTAAATGCCTTTTTGGACCCTCCAACAGATAGAAATGTTCGTGTCAGTCCAAAGAAGATGGTAGTGCTTTTTGTTTGGCAAGAGGTATGGGCCACAGCTATGTCTGGAATTTGGTTATTGAGAAGTGGGTTGAAGCTGGAAAAGAGGAAAGATTCCTGTCTGGATGAAACAGGGAAGGATTCAAGTTGTGCATTTTCTTATAGGAGCCTGAAGAAGCTACAAAAAAAAGGCAAATATTTCAGTGTCTTATATCTAAGATAAGAATATACGGAGCAGGACGGAGGTTTGTTTTCAGCTCTTTATTCTATTATCAATCAGAATATCTCTCCATGTCTTTAGATTGTAAAATAAAATAGGGAAAGAAGCATTGTTGTGGCATGTATCATATGGTCAATCACAGCTCAGAATCATGGTCCAGGACTCTGATGTTTTTGCAGCACTGGGTTCAACACATAGAATCATTAACTGCATTTTTTAAAGTTCTCACAGGGCCCCAAAGCACTTTGTTTAGTGTTACTCCAGAACACTGAATCCTGAGGCTGCCTGCTGCAAATGTCCCTGACTAGGAAGCCGCTGGTCTGAAATAACTTCTGGTTCTCTCCCCTCTGCCTTGGTAGTACAAGTTCTGAATCTCTGGCATCAGAATCAGTCTTCCCGAGATGAGACTTTTTTTTACTTGG